GGTTCCAGATGACAGGCTAGTCTCGTTCATTTGATGAGCTTCAACAACGATGGAGGCTTTGAAGTTACTGTACCTAAAGGCATACGCCTCCAGAATTCTTCCCTCTCCTCCCCTCCCCTCTCCTCCTCTCTCCTCCCCTCCCCTCTCCTTTCCTGCCCTCCCCTCCACTTCCATTCCCTCCCCTCCCCTTCCCTCTCCTTCCTTCCCTTCCCCTCCCCTCCCTTACCTCCCCTCACCTCCCCTCTCCTCCCCTCCACTTCCATTTTCCCCTCTCCTTCCCTCCTCTTTCCTCCCCTTGCGTTCTCTTCTCTCACCCCCCCCCCTTTCTTTTGCTTCCTGTTTGTTAGCTTCCAGGCAGAGACTCTCTGTATATCCAGGCTGGTCTCCAGTTAATAACCTCTCTTCTTCCACCTCCTGCACTGTGGAACTGCAGTCACTAGGGCCAGCATTATAAGACCGTTCAGAGTCACTAAAAGACTAGTGTCTGTTTAGGAGCCTTTGTGCATAGATGTAAGTTACCAAACTGCTTCGTAGTCTATTGGAGTCAGAAGTTGGGTATTAGAGGTAAGAATATGGTAAAAATAGCAGACACCAATGTTTATGTTTAAATTTGCCCCCCCCCCCCATCTTAACGTGCTACCAGCCTGGCCTTAAATATCTGATCTTTGAACTGCATCAGCCTCTGCAAATACAGAGATTACAGCCGTGTGCTGCCACACCCAACATGCACAGCCATTTATTATTTTATAATAATTTCTTGCATTTGTGTTTTTATGCCAGGACATTAAACAGCTTGATTAGTCTAAGAGGGTTTCCTTCAAGGCCAGTGCGATGACTCACTATGTAAAGGCACCTGCTGCCAAGCCTGCGATCCAGTCCCAGGACCCACGTATTGGAAGGAGATAACTGATAGATGCAGTTTTAAAGAGTAATTCTTCCAGTGAGGCACTTTAAGGGTGTGGACATCTCGGTGTAATTTATGTTACATTTTGAGATAGAGCTCTGCTGTTATGCCTTAAACTGTTGGGCACAAGCAACTCTCCTAGGTCAGACCAAGTCCTGGGATTACAGGTGTGTGCTAACTCACCTTAGCCCTCTCGCCTTCTCTTTGCATGTTTGATTTTGTTTTTGTTTTGGCTTATTTTTAGGAAAGTAATAAAAGGCTCCTTGATGATAAAATTTCATTCCTTAAAACACCTAGAATTCTCACCCCTCTCCTGTGGGACTGGGGGTTAAACACAAAACAGTCAGCGAATGCTGAATTGAACAAGGTGACTCAGTTGCCACATACAGCATTGATTCTGATCCCCAGATATGAGCTAGTAAAGAAGGATTTTTACTGGTGCTTGGATTCAATGAGGCACACCACACTTTACATGCCATCCTTAGCTCTGCATATAGACATAGCCCAGACAATAACATACATCTGTATTTGCTCACAGACTAAATCCGGTACTATTTTGAAAACTACACATTTAGAAACTTGTTGAAGTGCAGCCAAGGGAGTCCATAGAAGCAAATTCATAGCTCTAAATATTTACATTATTTTTAAAAAGGCTAGAAAGTTTGAGCAGAAGATTCAACTTAGCCTGGGAAAAACATACCAACACATAGTAAAGAGGAGAAAATGAGGTGGAAAACAAATGATGCCAAAATTGGGTATTTAAATAAATAACATAACAGATACTCCAGTGATCAAGAGAGAAAAAAAAAGGGGGGAAGACACAAATGACATTACACATTCAAATGATATAGCAATATAATCTCTCTGGAAATTTTAAATGTATATTTTGCCTGCATGTATGTCTGTATACCACATGCATCCTTGGTACCCATGGAGGTGAGAAGAGGGATTTGGATGCTCTGGAACTGGAGTTACAGATTGCTGTAAGCATCCCTGTGATGCTTAGAATTGAACCTGCTCTGGAAGAGCAGTCAGGGCTTTTAGCCACTGAGCTATCTCTCCAGCCCCAGTACTTCTTTCTAAACTGTCCATAGTGAACTAGAGATCCTGCTTAGGCCAGAACTGTGGCTTGGCTAACTCCCTTCTCCAGCACACACAATAGCTCAGTAAAGAACTTAGCAGATCCTTAGGGAGCCAGCATTAGGCTGGCACTGTGGGGGATCACCCTACCCAGTTGGCCTTTATCTTAGGACAATTGCACAGGAATCAAACCAGGCTTTTAAGGAATAAGGAGGAAGCCTGAGAACAAAGCAGTCAGCACTCTCTCCAACAGATCATCCACATCCCTGACCTTTCTTGTATTTCAGAAGAAAAGAGATGGCAAAGCAATGGTTTACCCTGAAATAGAAAGATGACTTTTGTTCCTTCTTGGTGCTAGCAAGCACTCAAAAAATTCTCACCATCAATCTTAAAGGATCCCTCCCTGGGTAGTGATTTGAAACATTCAGTAGGTAAGGGCTCTGATTTAATGTTTATATTCCATTGAAGTGATTCTGCCCCATAACTAACAAAAAATCCATCCTGAGGAGTTCAGCACAGATATGAAATCTCCTTGAGTATAGACATTGACAGTCGCTCCTGAGTTAGCTCCTTGGAGTTCCTTCCAGTTGTTAGGAAGCTATGGCTAGGGTGAATGTGTTCAAAACAATGTCTTTCCCTTGTTCACAAGGATGATAAGAACCCATTGCACCAATGACGTCACAGCTTCCCCAACAGCCAGTCTGGCTGGTATATTCCCAATGCCACCAAGTGAAACACAGGGCACATTGACTGGAGGACCACCACAGGAATAGAGAGCTAAATTTGACCCATGGCAACCTCCATGACAGCTTGGGACCCTGACAGGTTCTCTGACATCATCAGCTCTTCCTTCTACGAAGCTAAGACCATTTATCGTGTCTGCCCCTACAAGTACCACCACAGCCTGTCCACTTTCACTTCTTCCAGAGTGTCCCCTTTGTATGTCTTAAACTTCAGGTCTCTGGAAATATTGCTTAGTCCATAACATCTGCGGAAGCTAGAACTACAGTTGTGCTCACGACTTTGATAGTATCTGAAATGGCAGAAATGAATTTGTTCACATTCAAAATGAAAGAAAGCAGGAGAGAGTCTGGGAGGGTCTGTGGGATTCTGAGTTACTTTTAGGATAGATGGGGGAGGGAGGGTTTCTCCCGGGAGCTGGCACATGAAAGATAAAGCCACAAGAAGCGAAATCTCTCCAGTAGGTTTCAAAACCTCATCTGCAGCTTTAAGGAAGACAGTCCTAAATAACCCTTTAGCTCGCCCGTGAAGCAGTCTGACCCCTGTTCTGTGCACACTGAGACGTCACCTGCTAGTGACCATAATGGCAAAAATAGAATGAGAAGCCGGGGCTGAAGAAGTTAATTGACACACTGTAGCCACCCAGCCCCCTAGAGGCCATGACAGGACCATCTCCTGATTTCCTACTCCTCGGCTCCATTTTTAGGAACTGTCAATCACGCAGTAAAGTTCTATCAACCCTGGAACCCCAGCACAATCCTGAAGTAGCCGTCAGAGGATTTGCACACAGATTTTTATGGCCCTCATTTTCAGTGCCCAAGGATCACATTCATTCTTGTCAACCTTTCTAGAGTTTTGGAAGGCTTTTTACAGTCATCTTTTTAATATAACATATGTATGCACATGAGCATATATGCACTCTTGAAGAGGGTACATGTGTATTTCTCTGTGTTCATGAGCTTCTTGGTTTTTTGTTTTGTTTTTTATTTTGTTTTTTTCAAGACAGGGTTTCTCTGTAGCTTTGGAGCCTATCCTGGAACTAACTCTTGCAAACCAGGCTGGCTTCAAACTAACAGGGATCCACCTGCCTCTGCCTCCTGAATGCTGGGATTAAAGGTGTACGTCACTACCACCCAGCAACTTGTTTTTTGAGGCAGGGTCTCTGGAACTTCACTGAGTAGGCTACCATACCCATGTATAGCCTTACGGGAAAGAACAGCTTCATGGAGCTGTATCCTAACTTGACACACCACCACCAAGGACAGAAACTACAGGAAAGGCATTCCTGTCTCCTGATGTTCCTTGCTGTCTAAGCGAGTGTTTTGTCAAGAACTAAGAGACAAAAATTGCCTTCCTGCATTTACCTGAGTACAGTCAACCATCTTACAAGATTAAGCTGAGCAGTGACTTAGGCAGACTTAGAACAGTTAGTCCCGTGGACCGGATGCCTCTGAAGCAGTCTATAAGCTGACTTCAAACATGAAATCCGCAGCCTCCCAGCTCATGGTGCTGGAGGGTGTAGAATCAGACTTACGTTAGGGTCTGAGAGGGAGAGAGACCCCCTAAAAGTGTGGGAATTGCCTCCTCCTCAGACTCCAGCAGCCACCACAGTGTGTGGAGTGGGTGCCTCTCCTGCTGCCTTTCTATAGTTTCCTAGTGGAAAAATCATAAACTCTTTCCAATACCCCAGCTTTCCCAACTTCTCTTCAATTGCTGCTCTTTGTCCCCAAGCAGTTTTACCAAAATTACTACCCGGGAGAGCCTCGACCTTTGTCCCCTGCATTTCAGATAATCATTTGGGCACTGGAAAAAAAAATTGCTGGTCCTCAAGTCTTCAAAGTCAAGTCCTCTTCTCCTAGCCCCCCCTCCCCCCGCGAGGATAAACCAGATGTACCAACATAGTTCAACACCACTTGAAGGCAGAAAGTCCCCAGTCAAAAGGGGACCCATAACTTCCAATCACTATGCTAACACATCTCAGTGACAACCGAGGAGGCAGGTGTGGGAAGCATCTCCGAGTTGGCTTCTAGGAAAGTTTTTATTTTCACCTGAAATCAGATCATCTCTTAGCCTTGGGACAGGGACATAAACAAAAGACTTTCCCGGGTATTTTCAATACAAGCAGTTGTAAGCATGCGCTGAAACCTAGTGGGTCCCCAAAGCTGATCATCCGGAGTGGGGTCTCCAAGTCAGGAAAACTTCAGAGACCTAGTCTGGCGACCACCTTCTCACACTTGCAGTGTGGCGGCGAGGTAGAGCACAGAGCCATGCTTACCTGGCTGACGATGGTGGAGTGGGTCTCCACATAGTGCCAGTCCCCGCTGCAGGGCACCAGGGGCGCAGAGCGGTTGGGGAAGGCAGCGAGTGGGTCGCAGCTGAGCTCCGGACTGGTATTGGTGGCTTCCAGCAGGTAGCGGTGGCAGTGGCCTTGGCCTCGGCGTTCAGCCGGAGCGCGGAGCTCCGGTGCGGTGAGGTTCCACTCCTCCTCGGGGCTCCAGGAGCAGCGCTCGGCTAGCTCGGTGGCACGCGGCCCACGACACCAATAGTAGTCGGGCTGGCTGCCCAGGAAGACCACGCCAACGAAGAGGAAAGCGAAGGTGACACCGGTCAGGCACAGCAGCAGGAACACGCGCCGCTGGAAGCGCCCGAACTCGCCCGCCTTCCTCAGCGCCTGGTCGAACGTGGGCATGGTGCGCCCCGCCACCCCTCGTCCTGCTGCCCGCCGCTCCGCCTGCAAGTGACCCGCGGGCGCCGCCGCCCGCAGCTCTGCACCCGCCGCCCCCGCCTCGTTCGCTCCTCTCTCGCCCTGGCAGCCCGCCCCGGGCCGCTCCTCCCGCTCCAGGCTCCCGGCCTCCCGCCCGTTCGCGCCCCGGGCTGGCGGAGACCCGGAGAGCAGGTTGGGGGTGGGTTCACAGCGGTGCCACCATGCACCAAGGTCCCGGACCTGTAGCCTGCCCTAAAGAGACAACCCGGGTCAGAGTTCCCTGGGTTCCAGGATCACCCAGCCTCACAGACCCCGAACTCTGCAGACTCCAGGACTTGCCACCAGTGTTCTGAGACTGCTGGAGCAGAAGCCACTGAAATCCCAAGGTGACAGTCGGCCAGCTCCAGGAACAGGACTTCACACCTGCCCCTGCCCTGCGTGGGACGTTGGAGACATAGCAGAAACTGACTAACTATTCCAGCAGGACAGAGGGACAGCACACAGGGCTAAGAGATTTGCTTGGCCCCAAAGTTCAACAGGAGAAGGGACCACTTTTAGGCAAAGTCTTTTGCAAGTACTGGCATCCTGAATCTCTGGGAAACAACGGTGTTTGGTCATTTGACTCCATCATAGCGTCTTTGCTGCGTCTCTAAGATCTGCAGATCCTGTAGTATGCACAGCATGTGTGGTCCGCACCACAACGCCCCATCGGCCGGTCCAGTGTGTTAGCAATCAGCCGCCAGGCTGCAGGTTCCCCAGTGCTGAGCAGTGCATCTGAGTTAGCGCGCTCTGCTCAGTATTCTAATTTCTCCAGACAGCTCTTCTCCCGGTCCCTACCTCATGCCATCAGCCAGCCTTTAACTAACTTTCTCAAGGGACCCAGAGAGTGCAGATCTAACTCCCTTCCCCGCATACAGCAAACATGGCAGAGCCAGGCTGCCTTGTTCCAGCCCATCTCGTTCCCCTTACTACTTGTGACCCGGAGGAATTTAATTGACCAGCCCTGATTTTCCCATCTTCTAAGTGGGTCTATCAACATACCTACTTTATAGGGTCCCCCATATAGACTGAGTGGATTAACAAGAGGAAAACACCAGAAAAGGCTCCGGGTTTTCACTCAGTAATCATACCTGCAGCTGCTCTTTGCTACTGAGCAGACATCACCACGGATGGGCTCAAGAATGGCTGCAATCGTAGGGCATAGAAAGACCACCCCCTCTCTCTCCCTCTCTCTATCTCTCTCCCTCTCTCTCACTCACACCACCTACTCCCCAGCCACTTCTGCATTTGTGTATTTCACACCTCACTCGGCCCATTTGTAACTGTCTGCTGGAATCTCCCCACCCCAGCCGCCACACCCAGTAGGCCTCCCCTCTCCAGCCCACTTCTGCCTCCTGACCTGGCTGTTGCTGAAAGCATATCTCTCCTGCCCCAGACTCAGAATCTCAGGAGCACCCCAGTCCCTCTCACTCCTTAGTTTTTAACTGAGGTGACTATGCAAGGTGACGCTCAACCCCTGACCCCACACAAGCACACCCCAGGCTCCTTTTCCTGTCCTGTCTTCAAAGCTCTCATCCCCAGCTAATCTCTGTACACATTTATTCGTTCATCTTATAGTTTTACTCGTGACCTCATTCTTGCTCCCCTACATCTCAAGTTTCACACAGGGAGAAAAGTTTGCTCTGGGCCTCAGGTAGGTACCAACAGTCGTGCACAACACGTCCCTAGCAAACGTTCCTGTGATAAACGCAGGCTGACTGTCATGTCCCGCCACTCTTGAGTGTGCCCTGTCTCCCTCTTCTCCGACTTCTGGTCCTCGCTGACGGTCAGCTGCTCTAGGCACGGCAGCCTCTGTCCTCCGGGCCAGCCTGCTCTGAGGACGACTTTCCATGAGGCAGACAGACAGCTTGGCAGTTCTTCCTTCAGAGACTCGTCTTGCTGTCCAAGTCAAACCTTCACATCTCAATGCTCTTTCCAAGTCCTAACCTACTCTTTCTGTCCCCTGCTTGTGTTTTGTTTTGTTTTGTTTCTTGAGGACTTACTGGGTTTGGGGGAGACATTATTTGCATATCTGTGGGCTTTGCTCATGAATGAACCTACATGAGAACACGGGTGCCATCTTCTTAATCTGTGGATTAACATCTGTTTCTCTGGCACTATAAGAAATCTCAGTTTGGATGGAATAAAATACTCCTTTTTCATAGCCCGTCAAAAAAAATCATGCTTTCTCACATTCACGCACACACATGCACACTACCCAGCGCTCAGTGCTAAACAGCACTGAGCTACACCCTGGTCCTTTATAAAGCTTTACTAAATGGTATCTTCACATTGAATTTTAATATCTCTGGAGCGAATTCTGTGCAGAGTATGGCAGGATCTAATTTTACTCGTGCCTTCCACATGATCGAGCAGCGCGCTGAACGCCCATAACTTCGCCTGGATTCACAGCTCTGTCTCTGTCTTTATGAGACCCCTAGTTGTGCCGGAAGACCCTGATCCGTGCCCTCCATCCTGGCCTGTGTCTGTCTGTCTGTCTGTCCCCAAGCTGCGCCACTGTTCACCACTGTCTATCACCATCGTAATAACGAGTACAGCCAGTCCTGCCCCTCCTCCCCACTCAACCCGCCCTCTTCAGAGTGAACTTGGCCATTCCTGGGGCTCTTATCTCCAGATGCACTTTACATTTTGATAAATTCCATACATATTTGACTGAGACTTTTATTTAAAGTCATATGTGTGCTTTATTTTTCACCTCTGCTTTGAAGGGAATTTGAGAGAAAAAAAAAACTAATATCTCTTCTCTCTCTCTCTCTCTCTCTTTCTCTCTCTCTCATGTCTACACATGTGGGCACACATATTCACAACATACATAATGTATATGAGTATATACTATATATATATCATATGCACATATATGTATGTACAAAATACATATATTTCAGTGCTGAGAGGTAGCCCTGGGACACAGTTGTGTTAGGCAAGAGCTCTACCAATGAGCTATATTGCCAGACCTTGGCCTTTTTTATCTTCAAAACACTAAAAGCAGTTGGGTATATTGCCACACACCTGTAATCCCAGCACTTGAGAGGTAGAGGCAGGAAGACAGCCACAATTTTAGGGCCAGTCTTGTCTATATGGTGAGTTTTGACCATCCAGGGCTATGTAGTAAGAGCCGGTCTCGATAATAACAGCAAACCCATCACACACTGCTCTTCAGCTACACCATCCAATGTGGTACAGTTAGACACAAGTCCTTAAACTCTCATTCATGAGAAGGAAAAGGTGACAAACTGTGTTCCTCATGGCCACATGTGTTTAGTGGCTAACATGTGCTTTCTGAAAAAAAAGAATGTCTTTTCCTTCACCAGGGGACATCATTCTGGGGCATACTACTGACTAGATGTTGTGACCAACTAATTCTAGTTGGGGTTTCCAAAAACAACCAGAAATAGAACCCCCAGCCATACCACTCACACTACATAGCCACAACAGGAATAAAACGATATAATGAAAATACTTTTACTCCTATGTTCATTTTAACACCATTTCTAACAAGCAAGGTATGGAACCAAATATGACATCCATGCACATATGAGTGAAGGATCTGTGTATCAGTAGACGAAGGGAAGAAGAAAAAATATATGTCTCTGCAGACAGTGTGAGAGTATATGTGTACGAGGGGATGTTTTTCAGCCAGAGTAAAAGAATGAAATCCAGCCGCTTGCGGGACTGGCTGGAACTCAGATAGATCATGTTAAATAAAATAAGCTGGACACAAAAAGTCAAACCCACGTGTTCTCACCCACATGTGAAAACTTCAAAGACTGACCTGACTTAGGGAAGAGGAGGATCAGTGGTTGCTGAAGCCCAGGAGGGGTGGAGGAGATGAAGACAGAGGTTTTAGATCGGTTACCAAATGCAGCTGAAGGATGCCTTACCTGACGCAATAAGGTAAGCACATGACACCACAATTTAAGATGCATTTCTAAGCAGTTAGAAAAGTCCAAAGGCTCACAATACAAAGAAATGACCAGTTTTAAAGAGACTGAAAGTCTGAGTGGCCTGATTTGGTCAAAACCTACTATACCACACTCCACAAACATGTATAAGATAAAATGCTAATTGAATAATTAATTGCCCTCTGCCTTCAGCTTTTGTAAAACACACTAATGTGACTGCTTTTTTAAAGATCCCTTTTAATTATGTGTGTGATCACTTTTAGTTATGCTTGTGCATCTGTAGGGGCTATGTGCACATGAGATGCCAGAAGGCGTCATGGGATCCATGGAGCTGGAGCGCCAGGCAGTTGTGAGCCATCCGACACAGGAACGGTATAGCAAACAGTACCTCTGGGAAAGTATACGCGCGCATAACCACTGAGCCATTTCTCCAGCTCTGGAAACACGATTGTTTTGGTTTACTTGTCTGAAAATTACAGACGTCATTCTGACAGTTGTGGACTGGCGAGTATAAGGCGTTATACTCACCATATACTGAGTGACCAAGTTAAGTATATCTCATTTATTCTGTTCGGACAAAGTAAAGCATGTGCTCGTACACACACCCACACAAGTGTGCACGCACGCACACACACTCTCTCACACACACCACAATTTATTTGTCTTGGAAAACTATGATAAATGCTAAGATACAATCTTTTTCAATGCACTGAAGAGAACTTGGCAGGTGAACTGGTACCAGCACAGGCTTAGGGCAGAGAGCAAAAGGACTCACATCTTCCTTCCCTGGCTTCAAGGAGTAGGTCCGAATGCCCCAAGACTTGTTCTTCCGTAGTTGGCGCCGTGGAGCGGCTCTTTCCACCTTCACGTGTTAACGTAGCAGGAGCTCCGCCTGGGCACTGCTCTTACTCTATGGCTGCAGCTGCCCCACCCCAGCCCCAACTGAACTGACCAATGGCCATCATCACCTTTCACTTTGTCGATTGATTTTAATTACTTCCCTGGAAGAAAACTTTGAGTAGAAAAGTTGCTGATACTGTATCCTTTTCAAAATGCATATGTTGTATGGTTAATCCTGCTGGGACCAGCTCTGGATACACCCTGCACAGTGATGCCTGTTGCTTGACTTCTCCTCTGATCAGCAAGGACACCTTCCGGTCCCCGTTCTGCAGCCCTCCTGTTGCCTGATCCCTCTTGGTAGAACTCTTATTTTGCCAGCACTGACACTTTAGGCATAAATGTGACCCACCGAGTTCCTGTCTCAGCGCCTTAGCCGCCACGGAGATGGCTTTTGGTAGATACTTAGGGAAGGTGAGGTCACGAGAATGGGGCCCTCGTGATGAGATCAGTGTCTTTCTTTAAATGATATGTGTTCCTTTAAAGGAGCAGAGCGAGAGAAGAAAGCCTCTCTGACCAGCCGCTGCTATCGCTTGGTCCTCCAGCTGCAGGACGGTGGGAAAATCCGTGCCTGTCGTTCAGGGTCCCCATGAGTGGTGTCCATCTCAGCAGACAGGCAGACTGAGACAGTTGACATCCAGTTGCTTCCAGCAAGAATCCTGAGCAGTCAGCGAGAGGCTGAAGATGACAACCAAGAGCTACCGTCACCGTGTGAAGCCTGCAAAGGCGCAAATGTCCTCAGATAGAAAACGGTGATATTAGCAGGAAAACAAAATCCTTCTCAGCCAGGCTCTCACCAGCCACAGGCAAAAGAGACCAAGTCTGTAACAGTTTAAAAGTCCATGTGCTAACTTGTGCTGCAAAAATAAAAATAAATAAATAAATAAAACAAAACAAAATAATAAAAAAAATCACAGAGTGGAATATGGCGTCTCTCCTCTGGGCTCAGTAGAGCACTGTCTGGGGGACATCATGGGCGGGCTTGAGTCACACTGGGAGGAAACTGGATTTCTTCTTGGAGTGACCAGTCTTCCGTCTTCCACCCTGGGCTACAGAGTGTCCACCCTTGTGAAGTTCATGGCTCCAGCCCAGGAGCCACTAATCTCCCTGGACTCTTAGTCCCCAGCTGGTGGGACAATTTGGGAAGGTAGTGAAACCGTTAGGAGGTGGAGCCTCACTGGAGAAGGTGAGTCACGGGGGATGGGCTCTGAGGTTTTATGGCTGGAATTCACTTCCTGTTCTGTCCTTTTTCTGCTTCCTGACCATAGACACAATGTGACCTGTTGGTGTCCCTCTCCTGGCAGCATGTCCTCCCCACCACAGTGGCCTGTGTTCCCTCAAAGTGTGAGCCAAGATAAGCCCTTTCTCCCTTAAGCTGTTTATTTCTGCTTATTTGGCTGCAGTGTCAAGGAAAGTAACACAAGTCTACTTCCCATTTGTGATGGGCCATGGGCTCAAACTGTCTTTTCCTTTAACTACAAAGAAAATGCAGACAGTGCAGGAACTCAGGTCATTTCTAAAGCAACTTCCTTAAATTTACTGAGATGAGTTTGCTAATACAGAGCAGAGAATGCTGGCAGATTCCGTATTCAATGGTCCTGATTGACAGCAAGTGGAGGCTACATCTGAGAGCGCTAGCAAGAGAGGAAAGCCAAGGGAGAAGAGGCTCACACATGCACATCTCATAGGAGCCATGCTGAGTGAGATGGTAGCCCACTGTCGCCTTGTTTTCAGATTATGATGTCTCAGATAGGCAGTCATTGGAATCCACAGCCCGAATTCTGATCTCAAATCCACAGCAAGAGTTGTGTGTGGGATGTGTTACTTTTTCTAAAGACAGATTGAGGATCCAGTGCTGTGGGACAATGATTTTACCCTGTAAAGATTTGTTTCTTGTACTTGTTTAATGAAATGTTGATTGGCCAGTAGACAGGCAGGAAGCATAAGCAGGGTGACCAGGCAGGAAATAGAGGCAGGGCAATGAGAACAGGAGAATTCTGGGAAGAGTAACGCTCAGTCTGCAGTCGTCACCCAGACACAGAGGAAGCAAGATGTGACTGCCTCACCAAAAATGGTACCAAGCCACATGGCTAACATAGACAAGAATTATGGGCTAATATAAGTTATAAGAGTTAAGAAGAAGTCTGCGCTAATAGGCCAACCAGTTTATGATTAATGCAGACCTCTGTGTGATTCTTTGGGACTGAATGGCTGCAGGGCTGAGCGGAACAGAAACTTCAGTCAACACCGTAGTCTTCAGCTTTCTGCTGTGGACTGATGTTCTCTGAGGAAGCCACTTCTGTGGTGAAGATCTGGAAGAAGGCTTGGCTGACTAGAATCATGGTGTGGAGAGATGCGATGTTGAAAATTGGGAGCCAAAGAGACCATGGTCCTATCTTAATTCTCCTAGTAGCGTACTCTGCTGTCAAGGGCTCGGCAGAATGTCCTAGCAAAGCAGCCTGTAAATTCATGTGCTGATTTCTGACTTTCTGTTGTTCTGTGACTGACAAAGAATGTTCATGTAACCTCTTCTCCAGAGGTACATGTCACCCAAAGCAACCTGAATCTGTGTCACTCGTATGCAGCTCAGAATCAACTATTGTTTTCATTTTTGTCTTTGTTTTTCCTTTGGGGCCATCAACCCTGCCCCTCTGCCAATCTAGAGCATGCTCCAACTGCGCATCTTGCTCCCTCGCTTTCTGAGGAAAGCCAGCCACACACTTCAATGGTGCCAGGCTGTGGGCTAAGCTTTCTATGTATGAACTTTGGAGAACATTCCAGATCCGAGTACAGCATTCTCTGGTCTCTTAGCGTTCGTAGCATGAGGCCCCTTGCCAGGGCTGCTCCTGTGTGCTTTATATATTGTGTCACCTTTCATCTTAGAGTCCCGTTAACCAGGTACCTCCCAGGAAGGGTAGACGACTCGGGGAATTCAGACCACAATGTCCTCTTCTCCATCCTCAGCACCTCTGGGTATCCTCATCACCGCCACAGCTGTGAAATGCTCCATTCCCTCTTCTGTGACTTTCTGCAAATATAAAACTTCACTTGTGCTCCATCTTTAAAAAAAAGGGGGAGTGGGCTTATTTTATTTTTTTCATGCAGAGTGCCAGAGAGTCAGAACAGGGGCTGTGGACTTGGAGCTAGAATTACAGGTATTTGTGAGCCACCCGATGTGGATGCTAGGATCCAAACTCCAGTCCTCCAGTAGAACATTAAGAGATCTTGACTGCTGAGCCCTATTGCCAGCCCCTGTTTTTTTTGTTGTTGTTTTAAATAAAACCATTGTGTGCTTTCAATATAGACTATCTTTGGCATTGGACTATCAAAAACTTTTCATTTTCAAAACTGAAAGATATTCTCAAAGCCCCAATCACTCTGATTTCCTTCTTTTTCAGTCAGCCAACGAGAGACCAAAGAGTGTAAGAGACTCAACTGAAAGGCTTTGCTCAGTTTATAGCAGCAGTGGGCTTGAACCCAGGTTTGCACACAACTATAAGTTCCCCAGCTCACACTGATTCTTAGAATCTCTCATTTGTAGGTCATTCTTTTTTGTCAAAAATGTAATACATCATAGACAATTTTTTAAATAATTACTAAAATTAATTTGTGTGAATATAAGAAAATTTACTCAGTCTTCAGCCAAAAGAACATTGTCAGTAAAAATAATTTCTCCTCCCCCAGGAAATAAATGGAAGCTTTATATTGCCAAGGTAAAGATTTTGAGTATTCATATGACTTGAAAATGAAAACAATTCAACAACTTCTGAGTTCTATATTTGCTTAGGACAAAGTAAAGACGGCCTGTGAAGTCAGAGTGAGCTCTTTCCCTCAGAGGATGGTGCCAACATTAGTTTCCTAATTCTGCTGATGCAATCAATCCTTAATCACAGAAAAGAATCCTTGAGGGTCTGGGGACATGGCTCAGCTGACAGAGGGGCTATGTGGCATTCACGAAGCCCTGGATTCAGTCTCCAGCACTGCATGAAACCTCGTGCAGAGGCACACACCTGTAATCCAGAGAACCAGAAGTCCAGGTTCACCCTCAGCTCCATATTGAGTTCTAAGCCAGCCCCATCCTTGAGATCTCTTCTCTCAGAGCAACAACAACAAACCCATAAAGAACCATGGGAACTCACCATGCTATTTTTACAACTCCTTTGGGTCTTAAACTATTTTAGAAAGAAAAGGTATTTCCGAGTACTGGTACTGATCCACTGTAGGCTAGAGAGTCCTGAAAACCTTGTGGCAAAATGATCATGCCATTGAGCTCTTCCTCAGAAAAACATGACAAAATCCGCAGGGAGCCCCAAGTGCAGCCCCCAGAGGTGCCCCATCCTCAGTCCTAGTGTTGCTCAATGGCTCGGTTCACTCCAGAGCTCAGACAGATTTACAGGAGAGCCTGAGTTCTGACTCCACTATTTCCGCAGGAAATGCTTCAGCATTCCAGAAAACCAGTTTACAAGAGTATCCTTGCAGCCAGACTTCTTTTCCGCTGGCCTTTGTCTGTGTGCCTGCTTTCTGTCCTCAGAGCTGCCTTTGCCTAGAGGATATTTAACTTATGGGGCAGGAGAAACAAGAGCCGCGGGCCGTGAATTAATTCTATTGGAATTGGTCTTTACATAGACAAAGAAGCGAATCTGGTCAATATAGTGATCAGCCATATTTGCCCAAGCCAAGTCCCAGGAGGAAATGGTGCCTGGGCAGAGGTTTCGTGTTTCGACTGCTCCTTTGCTGTGTGAGCAATGGCTTCCAGTGACCCTTGCCGCCAGTTTATCCCTTCATCTGTATAGGCCTGCATCCTGAGTACCACCTGAGTCCAAGTTCTTTCCTCAGATTCTCTGATCAAACCAGGGATATCCCTGAGCATCTGTATTGTTCACCCAACACCCTCTTTGCCCAGGCTCCAATTTTGGTTGTCACCTATTTGGCCAGCCAGCACACATTCGAATCCAAACTCCAGACAGTCTCTCCTCTGCTGTATGTCAAGACTACCTGCCCACCAAAGCCGTATATAACCTAACCTCTGACCACATGACCTGTTATCTGGCCCTGACCACCTGACCTGACCACCTCCCCTGACCACCCAGCCCAACCACCTGGTCTGACCACCTGACCTGACCACATGACCCTGACCATCTAGCCTGACTGCCTGACCTGACTACCTGGTCTGACCACCTGACCTGACCACCTGGCCCTGACCACCCAGTTTGACCACCTGGCCCTGACCACCTGACCTGACCACCTGGCCCTGACCACCTGGCCCTGACCACCTGGCCCTGACCACCCAGTTTGACCACCTGGCCCTGACCACCTGGCCCTGACCACCTGACCTGACCACCTGGCCCTGACTAGATCTATTTTTTCCATCACTCAGATTTCCTTACTGCTACCACCCCAGCTCAGTCTGGTTCCCCACTGTTCTACTGAGCTCAATTCTCCTTTCCATTCTGGAATTCTTTCTTATTATTATAACCCTGCACTACACCCTCTATTCACATCCACTCCTGTACCCTCGACTGTAACTGAATTAGTTATTGTAGCAAGATGGCTATTCGCTCAGCTCCCAGGCTCGACTCTGGCATTCCACCTCTGTCCCTCGTTTCCTGTGTCCTAGACACATCACTCCTCAGAGCAGCTGTCCTCAGCCTTCCTAACGCTGCGACCCTTTAACACAGTTCATCATGGTGATACCCAGCCATAAAATTATTGTCGCTGCTACTTCAGAGCTATAATTGCTACTGTTATGAATTGTGATATAAATATCTGTATTTTCTGATGGTCTTAGGACACCTCTGTGAAAGGCTCATTCGGTCCCCAGGTTGAGAACCACTGTCTTAGAGGCAGAGGATGAAACTGGGGACAAAGAAAAGAATTCACTCGGTTGGCACCCTAGGGAGAAATAAATGAAACTCTGGAACTAAACCCTTAACATTAGCTATTTTTAAAAAATATTTTTGTATTCCCAAGTTACTTCCTCATGCCTCGTCACTAAAATCTACTTTTTTTCTCTTAACTCTGAAGTGCGGATGCCCGTGTCACCCCCCTGCATACTTAGCCTCACACACCCCACTGAGCAGCGGGGTGAATCCCATTGCTAGTGCTGGCACCCTCTTCTTGGTGTGATGGGGACCACATCGCACATCTCTGTCACTGGGAAGAACTCGGGACAGCACTGCCAATGCTCTTCTTGTTCTGAAGGAAACACGGTGACTCACTCACTAGTCACCTACCGCCTTAGAAGACTCATACTTCCTGGGCCTCTTTGTCTTTTGATACGTTCGCTTACTAATACCTTCCCCAGAACCAAACAGGAAAAATAGATTAGGTCCCCCATGGCTTCCAGAAAACGCTCCTTCCTGCTCATCCAAGAGCAAGACACCCATGATCTCACCTTATCAAAATGGGCCCAGATGTCTGACGCAGTTACTAATTATTGCCCAACGGACGTTTTCCACTGTGCCTCTGACCAGCCTATCACGAATGGGTGATGCCAACATGACAGTTCCCAAAGGAAACTTGGCAGGGTGGCTTCTGCTTTGCCCTCGCAGGTGTTCCACAAACACGATCTGAGAGGCAGGCGTCGGCTTGAGAGAGTGTGCTCCTCATTGCAGATACGGTGGCAGAAAAACTAATTGCAGAAGTTTTTCCATGGGTATTTCATGGCTGTGAAGCTGCCTCTTGGGGACACCAGACAATTTCTACAAGATCTGAAGATGTCAGGGGCCATCAGCCTCGGCCCCCCTCAGCTGTGAAGTGGCGCAGACGCCCTGGAAATCACAGGGAGGGCTTCCCAAGTGGCTCGGTGTGGTTACTGACAGTGTGACTCAATCCACATTCTTAGGAACTGAAGTTGGAAGAGCCAGTGAAGCTGGGCTCTCCCACGCCACTTCTAGGGTAGATTTTGAAATTCCTCTTCCCTTCAGGAGTCACGGTGGGAAGTGTCCCTGCTGCAGGAGCAGGCCCAAGCTCTGACTGACACAGCGGCCTCAGGGAAAGGACAGCAGAAGGATGATGACACAAAATGGACTCCAGTTCACTGGCAGAAGCCAAGTGGATGTGAGTGTGACGGAGTGTCTTTAAAGGTAGCTCTTACACAGAAGGTGCGTGTTTCTGTCTAGGGTGCATGGATAGACACACCCAAGGTCCCTCCCTAGAGGTTCAGATTTAAAAACATGAACTAGCCAGGGTGCAAATCATTCAAGCAGCTGGAACTCTGGATGGAAACTCCTGACGATGAGCTTGAGGGAAAAGCAAGGGAGACTAGAAGCAGAGTGGCCTCTCGGGAGCCCCTGGCGGTGGCCAGCAGAGAGGTCACGTCCCAGAAGGAACAGGGGAGATAGAAATGCCTGCAGGTAGAAGAGGTGGGACATCTTTGGGAGAAACAGACGTCTAGGCTGCCCCACAGGTGTCAGACTTGGCCACGGGGACAAAGAAGCAAGAGACCGGCAGGACAGACGGGTGGATTTTAGACAGTGAGACTCCAAGTACCCAGGGGGCCGCTGGCTGGCATTTCAGAGGTTGTGCAATGAAATCACATGAGCAAAGGGTGAGAAATCATGTGTCTATATCTTCTGTTTTAATTTTTCTTAGAATTTAAGGAGGCTTCAAAGAAGGGAGGGTACACAGTAGTAGCCCCAGCATGTAGAAAGAGGAGTTCCAGGCTTCCCAGGCTGCATACATTCCAAGACCCTTCTCACAAAACCAAAGACAGAAGTTCAGGGGATAGAATGAAGACAAAGAGAACTAATGAGGGGAGCAAGGCAGAAGGAACCATGTCCCCCATAGACACCTTTGGCCTCCAAGCACTCCCCACCCCTGCTCAGTCAAAGGCCATCTTCCCTCTCCTACCAGCCTTTGGCATGGGCTCAACCCTTACCCTC